CATCGAAGGAAAGAAAGAAGGAAAGAAGGAAGAAAAAAACGTTTATTTTTAAAGCGAAGGGAAATCATTGATCTCGGCTCGATTTTAAGCCCAGTTCACGTCGATTCCATTCCACGCTGGAGATTTCGAGCATTGTTACCGCGGACTCGACTGTCCATCGTACTCTTTCTTCGAGAAAACAAAAAAAAAAAAAGGAATCGAAGGCAGGTCTGTTCGAGAGTAAAAAGCGCGTAAGAAGATTAAATAATGGCTCTTACCTAAATAATGGCTGTTCTACGTCCATTGATGCTGCGCCGGGGGCGGTGGCGGCGGCGGCAATGGCAGAGGTCTCTCCAAAACAGGAACAGGGGACACGTCTGGCATGGCGAACCTTAGCTTCTGCCAAAACAACTTGTCCCCCCACACCAGCACGGTGTGCGACGAGATTCTCTTTTTGAGATCGGCGTCGAGATCTCGTGGACACACACCGCCCACCAGGAGCAGGATCACCGAGCGGCCCTTCCCTTTCAGAGCGTCCCTGAGAGCCGCTTTAAACTCGAACCTGGCCCACTCCCCGTGCAGAAAGTTCTTCGACAACACGAGGATGGTGCGCCTCGAGGAATCGGCCGCCTCGGCCACTGCGTCGGCCACGTTGCTGCCGGCCCCCAAATCCCGGTAATGCAAACACAGCCTGTAGGACGTCTCGAGGCCGGGCACCAGGATCGTGGAGACGAACGACTCGTCCACCGCGGAGTAAGAGATGTAAGCGTCGAACGGTTTCTCTTGATCCTCGAACGCGGCCGTCTTGTAACACGCCCTCAGCCCGCATCTGCTCGCCGCCCATGTCCTCAGCGTGCGGCGATGCCTGAACGCGCCGCACACGAGCGCCACCATGGCGAAAATGAGGACGGCCGTTGCGAGCAGGAGCGGAAGATAAGCCTCGAGCGGCCGTGTCTCGATCACCGAGGTCGTGCCTGTTAACGCCGCGCAATTTACCACCGACCCGTTCGCCGGAAGAGTAATAGGCGTGCCGAGGGAACAGGTGACGCTCCTCCAGTCGCTTATCTTCGCCCTGTTACGGGACATCCACTCCCGAACCCGGTCCAAGAACGAGCACTCGCAGTTCCACGGGTTGCTGGACAACCCGATGTCGACGAGATACGGATTCTGCCCGAGTTGCCAAACGGCGAACGTGGCCAGCCGATTGTTTTCCAATCGTAACACTTCCAGTTGCCGTAGCGGGACGAACGTGCCGTTGTCTATGTACGTAAGTAGATTGTTCTGCAGGTAGAGCTCCTTCAGGTTCTCCAGAGGCATCAGTTCCACGCCGTTGAGCACGCTTATCTTGTTGTTCTCGAGATGAAGGACCAGCAACCGCTTCAGACCGCTGAAAGTGTGATTGCGTATAGCGATGATGTTGCTATCGTTCGCGTACAGGATCTGCAAGTTCTTCCGGCCGATGAACGAGTGGGAATTCAATTCCCCGAAATTGTTCCCATCGAGGTAAACCTCGGTCGCGTCCATCGGCAATCGGCCGGGAAGGGTTTTGTATCCCGAATTGGAGCAATCGACCACGTTCGCCGACCAGGATTGATCGTGGTAGCAAGTGCAGTTGGTCGGGCAGGTCATCTCGCAGTCGCAGGCGTCGAAGTCGCAGCAGTGGCAGAGCGCGAAACAGTGGGCCTTGTACGTGCACAGGAACTGGGACGGTTTCGCCTCGAGCAACGGTATGAACGATTTGTGACGATCGTACGGAAGCCTGCAATACACCGATTCCAAATCCATCACCCTCGGGTGTTGCCTCAACGACAACGAGTTGATCCTTTGCAACCATTCCGTGGTGCAGTCGCATATGAACGGGTTGCCACCGATGTAGAATTCGGGCAATTGGCGATAGTTGGGGACAGGGGTCAACTGGAACGCGGACAGATTCATCTTGACGATCTGATTCGCGTAGAGATCCACCCTGGTCAGATTCTTCTTGTCGGCGAACGTTTGAGGCTCGACCGTCTGTATCATGTTGTCGTTGACGAACAGAAGCTCGATGGAATCCGGTATCGACCTCGAGTGTATCCTCGTTAACCGGTTGAACGACACGTCGAGCGTCTGCAATCTCATGCCCTGTGGCGCGATCCCGAGATCCATAATAAGATTTTTATGCAGATCCATCCACTGCAATTTCTCCGGCAGGTAACCGTAATCGAACTGTACGATCATGTTGTCGGACATGTTCAGCCAAAGGAGACCGGGCGCGCTCGCCAACATGCCGGACATATCCTGTAACAAATTCGAGTCGAGACGGATCGCCTGTAACGCGGGATTCGCGGTGAACACACCGTCCTCCACCGTTTCGATTTTGTTCCGCGCCAAGTTCAATATCTGAAGCGCCGGCAGCTCGGCGAAATCCTCCACTGTCACGTTCGTGATCTCGTTCCCGATCATTCGTAACCCGTAGAGGCTGGACATGCCGCGGAACCCGGGCCTGTTCAAGCTTCTGATTTGATTTTCACCGAGATCCAGCGTACGCAGCATCCTCATGTCCTTGAGGGCGACCGGTATGCTGTCCAAACTGTTTCCCGACAAATTCAGATCTTGCATGCTGGAACAATTGCGAAACGCATCCGGATGGATACCTTCGAGCTGATTAGAATCGAGCGACAGAAGAGAGAGGGCGAACAGCCCGTTCAAGGAATAGGCGTCCAGATAGGTTAATCGATTGTACGCCAAATCCAGCGTGTGCAAATTACTCATGGGGGCGAATGTGTCGGCTGGTATCGTTTCGATCTCGTTGTACTGTAGATTCAATATCTGAAGGGTGTAAAGGTCTTTGAATAAGGCAGGGTCCAACCGAGTGACGCGATTGTGGGAGAGATTCAACAGGACGAGCCGTATCAAACCGGAGAACGTGGCCGAGTTGAGCCAGGAGCTGGTCAACGCGTTCCTCGACAAATCCAAGGCGACCAGCTGATTCATGTCCGCGACCAGGCCGGGGGACAGCACGCTGATGGAATTGTTCTGGAGCCGCAATTCTTTCAACGACTTGGCCGCGTCCCGAAACATTTCCGTCGGCAACGCGACGATTCTGTTCCCAGACAGGTCGAACGTCTCCAGAGACCTGAGCCCGTGGAGCGCTTCGTCCGCCACCATGGAGATCGCGTTGCTCGACAAGTTCAACACGCGAAGCCTCTTCAGGGAAGAAAATCCGTAGGCGGGCAGCACCAAAATTTGATTACTCGACACGTCCAACGATTGCACGTCGAGAGAGCAGGGGAAAGGCGACGCGGTCGATTCCTGTTGACGGTTCCTCGGATGTTTCTCCGCGGTATCCCTGAATCCGAGCTCGGTTATGTCCTTCAACATGTTCCACGAGATGTTCAACGTGAGGAGATTCGACAAAGGGCAAAACAAGTGTTCCGGTATCTGCCAGATGTTGTTCCACGATAAATCGATCTTCTCGATCTGTGGCACAGAGTCGAACGCCCCGCTCTCCAATTCCAAGCTGTATTTGCTCTTCCGCCCGTTCAAGCTTCTGATCGTCAGATTACGAAGATCCCGCAAACCGCTCAGAACTTTTGCCGGCCAATGGACCAGCTTGCATCCGGTCAACCTTAACGATCGCAATCTCCATAACTGTACGAACCCGTCCACGTTCAATATCCCGTTCTCCAACGATTCCGAATCCTCGCATACGACGTTGATCGAGGTCACGTATTCGCTGGTCGCCTGTGAAAAATTCGTCCTGAGGGAATCGTTGCCGGTGTAACGGTGGATGCAAGTGAGAGCGCCATCCTGCCGCGAATCCCACGAACAATGCTCCGGTAAATCGAGCCTCGGCGGTAGTTCGCTGGTCACGGCGAGCACGTGGTATACCGGGAATAGAAGATAGTAGTAGTAGGCCAATGACAGCAACACCGATCTTCCCAGCCCTTCCGGATCCCCGGCGAGCCCACGCATCTTTAGCGAACTCGTTGCCTTCCCTTGTTTCCGCTCCTTTGTCTACTTCCGGTCATTACACGCCGCTCCACGACTCGCAGACGTTTCGTATTATTATTAACGCACGTTGTCGTCACTCGTGTACGCCCTCCAATATTTACTCCGAGTGACTGGCATGTGTGTGCCCCCTCTTTCGACAATCGATACTCGACTCACTTCAGCCCGGACACGTCCGATCGTTTTCAACGATTCGTGAATTTCGTTAATGGGAATTGAAAGGGAACGAAGTTCACTGCCAGTCGACCTGTCATGTGAATAGCTCGTTTATGAACGATTCGAGGGAGCACGAGAGCGTTATCGCATTTCACTGAGTGCTTATACAAGTAGTTTACACTTTAAAGAATCACACTTCACTCGGTCGGCGAATCGTTCAATCCAGCGCGCGCGCGAGTACCCTTCATAACCTGCTGCAAGCGCTACTACCACATTTCGACTCGCGAGACACTCGACCGGCTTGACTGGGAAAGTCCTCGACGATGTAACAGCGTAGACAGGGTAAATCTCCGGATAATTACGCACGCGTCGAAATGCTCGGTAATTTCGTATCCCGTATCCCGTAAATTTCGTTTTCCATCCCCCTTATCGTAATTGTCCACAGTGCTGACTCACCGGCGAATCAACGTCATCGTTTCCTGTAACGATGTTCATTGCCTTTGCTCGACGACACTATGCTCGCGTTCCGCCAAAATGCCGGAAGCTTCGTAACTTTTCCACCAAATGTCCCATGTCACCGAGCCGTGTTCCCAACGCTCTATCGACACTATTCGAGATTACGATCTCTTCTCACTGAAATCCCGATATATTGCCCGACAAGCTAATCCTACGCGATAATTTTGCGAATGAAAAAAGCAAGAGAACGGACTACGGAAATACGGAACACTTTTAAACCGTAACACCCGGTACGGCGACCACCGCGCAACTGACGGTTGAGATCTCCACAGCATCTAACTCGACGCAGCGTCCACCAATCGTTCCTTCCCCCACCACTGGCGGCAGCACTAACACATCGAGGACCGGCATTCAACGAGCACGCGCCTCTCGCCGGCCGACCGTGGTGGAAGAAGGACGGGTTACGTTCCCTCGTACTGTTCTTGTGTATCTTTCTCTGACTTGAGTGGAAATCGCGTGTGCTTCTGTTCAACAAACGTCGGTATGGTCGTAGCTATACGAACGCAATAGTGTAACGCGTAAAAAACGATGGATAGTGCACGCAACCTGTTTCTATCTTCGCGTCGTTTGTGCGGTTGAAAGTGTTTTGTGTTCGAACTTGCGTGTGCGTATGATCTTCTCTGGAACGGGACACCTTACACCACAATATCTATGACTACCCTCATCCAACAAGATGAAATCTTATTCCTAACTGGACAACCATCCCGGATTACGAACAGAAAGGTAAGAATATATTATTATAAAATGGCGTCATTTTCGATTCGTTAGCATGGTATTGCGAAGTTACAAACGATGACTCATACGAGATAAGCTACTTCCTATTATTTTGATCGTTCCGAATAGTTTATTTTGTTTATATTATTTCTTCGCAGTCCCTGCTTCTCCGAATCGAAAAGTCTTTGTTTGGCCTTGTAAAAATTCGTCAACGTACGTTTTCGTC